GGATAGTTGGCCAATCAGAGCACACCTCGCTTTTCAGGCCGATGAGCTTTGTAAAAATCGACGTGTTTCAGAAAGGCGGGGCATAGAGGAGCAACAATAATGTACAGTATGTGGAAAATAATGTGTTTTTTGAACCTTAAACCGCATAAACACATTTCATTACACCAAATACACAAAATAATGTTCTTTTTAGCAACATCATATGACCCCTTTAAAATGAAGCTTTACTTTAAAATGTTACCTGAATATATGTTTCTACACATATAGAAAATATGTTTGTTTATTTATCTATCAGTCATATTTTATGATTATTAAATTTTTCTCATTCAAATTTTAGTATTATTGTACATTTATGTATATTTGATCATATGAAACTGATAATATAAGATATATCCTGGTATATAATTTATATACTTTTTTATTATTTTGTATTTTTTTAAATATATTTTATGTATATATTATTTTAAAAAGTCATACATTATATACCTGAATCGAAAAAGTCACAGTATTTTTTACTGAATATTTTATATACTAAATATGCAGAGAGTACACAAATAAGTTATTTTAATATTTTTCCCTCAAACCAGTTAATTAGAATTAAGCATCCAAATGAAATGACTTACTAAAATTGAATTAAACTTGAAATATGTATTTAAGTTAGAAGCTTTGCTACGTTTCATTAGTTATTCACTGTGTAGATTTGGACACACACCCTCTTTTACCCGACCCACCTCGCCAGAAAAACCTGCCTTAAGATAAACAAATAAAACCACGCATTTCCCACTGAGCCAGCGAAAGGGACTCATACAGAGGACAAGGAGAAGTGAGGGAGGGTGGGAGTGAGAGATCCTGAGAAGTCAATGTCAAGCCAGTGATTTTCCACCTCTCGCACCTGAAAAGCATCTTACACTGAGCTACAGAGACAAGTGGCATAGAGGAGTTCAGTTCAGTGAGTTCACAAACTAATGTCAGAGCTGTGTGCTGCTGCTGCTGCTGTGTGCTGAGGGAAATACAAGACATCTGATGCTTTGATTATAGTTCTCCTCTGAAGAGTTTAAGTGTAATGAAAGGCTGCCTGAACTTTCACCAGATTATCAAAGACTCTCTCGAACACACACACACACACACAGTGTATTAGTTTTACAAACTTGTTTTTATTTTAATGATTTACTAATTTCAGTTTAGATTATGTGTGTGTGTGTGAGAGAGAGAGAGAGAGAGATCTGTACAATCTAAACTAAATATATATATATTAAAGATTTTACATAATAGCCTGGTAGGCAAACATTTTAAAATGCTTTTATTTTATTTTATTTTCACTTTTATTTGTAGTAATAATTTTTAAGAACGTAGTTGAGAGACCAACAGAACATTTACAGAATATATTATTGATAAAATGTTAAAATAGCAAAATCTGGTGGAATAACATTTTTTTTATTTTATTATATAAAAATAGCACAGTGAGTTAATTTATTGTGCACTTCAGTGAACCTGAAACTAAAGCCACAAGTCTCTCTACTCTGTGCTCGGCTCCCTGAATTCCTGTCCAGCGTTTAGTCCCAGAGCAAAGCCACATGTCCGTAAACATCTGAATATGGAACGCTGCAAATGACTCTGACAGTACAAGTACGCAGTGAGAATTTTTAAAGCCCAGTGAAACCGATTCCGAGATGAGAGTGTGAAATATATGTGTCAGTTTGTGGGTTTCTGAGTCAGATTCACTATGATAAGGTACGTCTCTGTGCCTGTCTGATCTTGCATCTTCTCATGTTTTCATAATTGTTTGTGATGGTTGGGGTGTGTGCAGCCCTCAGGTGTTACCCATCACTCTCACGTACACACACACATACAGTTGAAATCAAGCATCCGTGTTCCAGTGATGAAGGGCATAGGAGCGCTTAGACACAGTGAAGCATGACAGCTGTCAGCCAACCTCTATAGACTTGCTCATTCATTCCCACAATCCCTCTCTCCCTCTCAAACTGATACGTCAGCAATGCCTTTGATATTTGGGTAAGTCATTTCTGTAACATGATCTTGCTACATGATACGATTACTCAGGTTTAATATTAAAGGGGGATACTAGTCCACCCAAAAATGAAAATTCTGTCATTTACTCACCCTCCAGTTGTTCCAAACCTCTATGAATGTCTTTCAGCTGTTGAACAGTTGATGGTAGCCATTCAAAAAATGATTTTATTGTATTTATTGTAAATAAAAAAAGATAGTTTGAAAAAAACTTAAATTGTTCCACTTTAGAATTTCATGTTTAAGTCAGTGTGTATTTTTTTTTGTTTTGTTTTAGTCATTTTATTTGTGCTTGTCATTTCTGTTTAGCTTCTATTTAGCTTTATTTTTATTAAATTTTTTGTAATTTTAGTAATGCAACCTAAACTTTTTAAAGTTTTTGAATGTTTTTAAATTATTTTATTTTATTTCAGTTAGGTTTTTTTAACATTTTTCGTATTTTATGTTAATTTTAAGAAAAATTACAGTAAAATAGATGTAGTTTTTGTTAACAATAACAACACTGATGCATTCTTGTATAAAATAGATAAAAATAAGAAATTGATAAAGCAAACCCAGAATACACTGCAGTGATTTCAGAGAAAAAACTCAAGGTCGAGAGAAATATCAGTCAATATCAAAAAGTATGTATCTGATTAAATTCTGTATTTTTGTTTATTAGAGTATTTTATCTTCGTTATCACGCTGCCTTCTAAGACACAAGAAGCTTGACAAGCTCATGCATTTTAGCATAAACTAAATGTACGAGATAAAGCATATATCCCAGAATGCATTGCAACAAGCTCAAGATGGCAATTTGACAGCAATGCCAAGTAGAATTATACTGTATTACAGTGAATTATCTTCTTAAACATGGTATTTTTATGCTTATGCGTATTATGTTAACATCAAGAGTTTCCTGTATGCTTTCGTTAAAGTCCATGAACAGGTAATTCAGAGAATTGTTTCTAAACACATTATAAATGTAGTTTTTCACCATTTTTGTGAAAGCAGAGAATACTGCCTATTTTTTCATGATTTTTAAGCTTTTATTTACTCGGTGTTAACACATTTAATATTGCTTTTCATAAACCTTAAAGGTGTTGTTTGTTTGTTTCTATGTACTGCGTTCAAAATCAGTCACTTGTGAAGTTATTTCAGAGCGTATGTGTTGGTTTTCCCACAGTGCATTGCTCTAAAGTCCCTAACAAGCCAAATAAAGCTGATTAAATACTTTATCTACTCGTGATTTTTATGATAATGCTTATTTGCTGAATTTCCACACACGGCTAGACTTAAAGCCAAGCTGCACATCTCTCGGGGTGTCCTCATTAGGGCTGAGATGCTAACATTTACAGAGCAGATGATTCTTGGACCGTCCTGCTCATTCACACAGAAAGAGAGCGGAAGCGTTCGGCGGATGAGTGAAAGTCTCATTACCCAGCAGGGTCAGTAAAAGCAGAACAGAGGCACAATGCAGCCTGACTAAGAGCTTTGCTGAGGGCGAACGGCCTGTAAAAGAAAAAGAGCGAGAGAGAGAGTATAATCTGCTATAATAGTCTGAGTGTAATAGTTTTAGTACCTGTCACAGTTTCTGGTGGAATAATAAAAGCTGTGTTGCGTTTTACTGCATGCTGTATGTATATACAGTATGGTGCTTGTTGAACATTACAACATCATACTATATAAGTAGTGTACAGTGTTCTAGCCTATTAAGTGCACACTTCAGCTTTATCTGAGTGCCTACAATAACCTGAATCTCCTGTATAGTGTTTCTATAGTCCACATGAATGTGGCTGCTTTCACAGTAAAGCTACTTGAACTTATATGCAACTGTGTGTGAGCTGACGGTATTGAAATTCACGAGATAAGCAACAGCCTTTCTAAATGTACCCCGTAAAAGTGTCTCCAAAACTCAGTGGGACTCTGTTGCCTTTATGCGTATCATATGGCAAATGCTGCACGAGTGGTCAAAAAGAAAGCCTCAAATTTGTGGAAAAAATGAATGGAACTTTACATGTGCTGCTGCATATGGAAACATAGTCTAAATATACTGTACATGTATTCAGACCCGCTTAGAATCCACCAGGGATTGAGCTCAGTTTAAAAGCTTGAATTTACATCAGAACAGGTGTGTGTGTGTGTGTGTGAGAGAGAGTGTGTGAGGGTCGGGTTTTGTCTACATTGTGGGGACCAAATGTTCCTACAAGGATAGTAAAACCTGAAATTAACTACATGTGATGAGCAGCCAATGGTCGCAAAGAGGAAAACGGCGTATTAAACATAGTAAATAACATCTAAATGAAAGTTAAAGGAATATTCTGTGTTCAATACAAGTTAATCTCAATTGACAATATTTGTAAGCAACCAAGGTTGCAGAGATTCATTTACAATGGAAGTGAATGAGGCCAATTTTTTGGAGGACTTGGCAGAAATGTGAATCTTAGAATTTTATAAAAGCACTTTACAATGGATTATTCTTTTAAAACATGTATTTTAGAGCTGTAAACCTTTTTACAGTCGTTTTAGAGTTTATAGTGTTCCATTGTAATGGCAACAAAGCTGTAAAACTGGATATAAGTTTATAAAAAAGGTTAGTGAAGTGATCTTTTTCACATTAAAATCATGTTGACATGCATTTTGATTGTCAGAAATTTAGAGTTCAGTACAAGTTCATCTCAGTCAACATTTGTAGCATTAAAAAAATCGAGGTTACAGTGATGCACTTACAATAGTTTTAGAGGACTTAAAAGCAGAAACGTGAAGCTTATAATTTTATAAAAGCATTTAGTGATTTTTTTTTCTGTTGAAATTTGTGTATTATTTGAGCTGTAAACCTGTATAAATCATCATTTTATAGTCATTTTGGGGTTTTAGAGTTTATGGCATTCCATTGTAGATTTAAAACTGGATATACCGGGTTTACAAAAAGGTTAGTAAGGTTTTTTTTTATTTTTTTTTTATTTCTGGTACAATTCAAGTTCATCCCAATCAACAACATTTACAATAGAAGTGAATGGGGCAAACTATTGGAGGGATTTCTCAAGGTGAAAGAGTTTTTGAACATGAGATGAAAACAAACTATTACAGCTACACCTTCATTTCCTGCTTTCTGGAACAGGACGGTCGGTCGGGCGACAAAGAACAGACGGGTGTGCGATCAATCACTGAAAGTTGGAGGTGGGTGGAAATATGCAGGAAGGTGAGCATGAGAAATAAAGACAAGAGAGAGGAGTGAAATTAAACTGGATGAATTCAATCCTCGCGTAAGGTTGGCTTTGTGGTGGAGCGGATCTGCTCGGCTGAGCTCTAGATGTGCATGTTTTACATTGGAATTGAAATGTGAGTGCTCTTATGTGTTTCCATAATAACATACTCAGGCATTCCAGTGGAGGTCCAGAGGTTATTCTTTTCCCGCTGACCTCAATGCAGAGAGGACCAGAAACGTATAGACCCATGAAATCAATTTGACTCAATTTACTTTTCGAATACATGTTTCTGATCTTATTGTGAACTATTCACTGGTGCATTTTATTCTGGATTAAATTTTTTTTTTTTGTCTTGGTAACGTTTCGTAACTCACTTGGCCACAGAAACCACTTTTTTTTTTTCTTTTTTTTTCTCCTGCCTTCATTCTTGTATGTAACATCTATATTTCACAGTCCAATCAATCCCAATTAATTTCTGATTTATTCACTGGATTTCAGATTTAATTTAAACTGCTTGTGAACAATTTTTGAAACTAAAAATAAAACTAAAAGATTATTGGAGTTTGTTTTACAAGAAAATACTACTTAAACTTTCTACTTTTACTTAATTTCTACTTTCTTAATTTTCATGTTTAACGTAAAGTGTTAACTTGCCGTTTCTTTGTAATTAATTGCGAATTTTATTAGCAATTTCTGAGTGAACATTGTTTCTACACCAAATTTTTTTTTACAGTGTATGAGCACATCTATATTCAAGTGTATTAAAAATGAAAAAATGAAAGAAAAATATAATTTGTGTAAACCATTGTAAAATTATATTTTACTTATTCATATTTACTTTAAAATATTAAAAAATGTTAATTTTCAGGAATAGTTTTGTACCGTAAAAATCTTATCTTACCATATACTGTGAAAATTTATAAATAGTTTGGGATTATATTATGACATTTTACTGTAAGATTTATGATTTTTGCTAGTAAAAAATATGAATTATATCTATATACACAAATAACAAGAAATACATGTATTTTACAGCACATATTGTTAAAAATATGTATAATATATATATATATATATATAAAATTATACATTTAAGTTAAAATATGAGCCACATTTATCATTTACAGTGAAAAACACTAAAATGGCATTCCCAGAAGTTTCTGCATGATTCACTGCATATATTTTTTTATTTAAATATTTTTTTGTTAACAGTTATGTACATTTGAATACTTTTTGTTACATTTCATGTCATTTAGTGAACATTTATCGCATCATTTTAGTGTCATGTATGTTACCATATTGTCAATATATTTTTATTTAAACATTTTCCCCACTTTTTACTTCATTTTTTTTCCCCAGGATATTTTCACAGTGTATGCAGTATCTACAGTCTCATAAACTGATATGTGTAGCATAAGATCCAGTGATACCTGTGTGGGATTGTACAGCTCCTGTAGGGCGTTTCTGGAGCCTTTCCGGCAGCAGCCCTCCGCTGCGAACGGGTTCCGCCTCATAACTGCAACAAAAACAAAGAGAGAGACAGATGGACAGTTAGAGTAACCAATCACTGACTGACAGGAGCAAAATCAACCAATCCCAACAAGGCAGACTTCACTGAAGCGATATGCAGTGTTCATATGGCCACTTGAACACACACACACACACTTGTCTGAATGGATGCCCTCATTAAAAGGGCAAGTCTTTAATAATGCAAAGCCATCCAACACATCTCCATATAAACAATACATTTAATACCAAGTCACTGCCTCAAAACACACACACATCTCTAGAGTGTGTATGTTGCAATCGATGAATAATTTAAACATGGTAATGCATGTGTAGGTGCTCTGCCATGTCGTAACCGACAGTAATAGTTTTATACAGTTTGTCTCTCAACAGCGAGTCAGCAGAGAGTGACCGGCAGTGCTGAAATTACACTACATGAAAGCTAATGACCAGCACTGCTGAAATGGTGCCCTATGAAAGCAGTCTCTGTGCTAAGATAGAGACTGACAGATTTAGTACTACATTGGTTCGTTTATTCGCTCTCATGTAACATTATCTTGACTTAGTGTGTATTTGTGTTATGTTAAGAGTCGTATGTGTTTGTGCACAGCACACAGAAAAGCATTGTTTAAAAGTGTGTTAATGCCTGTAAGTGCACAGCGTTCTCAGAGCGTCTGATGTCTTACTGTTTAATCCAGCTCAAGGTAAGGGAACCGAATGAAACCGAGACTGCTGGGAACGAGAGATGAAAGGAAAACGAGAGTGATGGAGGAACAGAAAGGATGTGTTAATGAGGGATAGAGAGACTACTGGACAAGAACCAGACAGTTTGGATCAGGGGGTCGACTACCTGAGGGGTTGTCATTAGCGCGCCAGTGATAGCGAGAGATGGGTTTATGTGATTTAATTGGCAAAATTAAATCACTTGCATCTGCATGCCAGTTTTTCGCTCGCTCATATGAGGAAGTAATCCTTCTTCATAATCGTGCAGTCTGTTATATTTAGTGTAAATACGCCCACATGGAATCCAAACCCGCAGAATTTGAAAACCTGTCGTTCAGGTTCTGCACATCCCTCACCATTTCCGATAATGTTAAGAATTTTGGCTAATAAAACAGATCTAAAAGTGTGGGAAAAGGTGTGCAGATTCTATCTGAGCCAGGTTATGAAGCCAAAAACAAGTTTCGCCTTGTCATATATGACACTTCACATGAAAAGAGTCAACCACTTGTAAAGACAGGTTGGATACATTAACAGAGGACAGTACTTTATACAATTTTAGCCAACAAGCAATCAAGATTCTTTGTTACTAGCAAATTCATACCCATTTTAATTGGTCATGCATTGATCATTCTGCCAATATTGGCCATTTTGAAATGAACGGCATTTTAAATCATTTATGTTTGGCCAAAGTATTGGTTTTTCCATTGTGTCAGTTTTAAAAGCTACCAGAAATCTTGTCGATGGCAACTTAACATGCTTTTTTGGGGGGAACTTGAATAAGTATTGGTTTTTCCATTGTGTCAGGTTGAAAAGCGACCAGAAATCCTGCCAATGAAGATGTACTTTTTTGGGATCATTTTGGGAGAATTTGAAAAAGTCCAAACAGAAAAATCTAAGTTGGCACAAAGTGTCATATTTTTTCCATTTCCATTGTTTCCAATGTAGTTTAAAAACTTCCAGAAATCCTGATGGATGTAATTTTTTGGATAATTTAGTGAGAATTTGAATTCATATTGCATAAAGTATTTAAATTAAACGGTGATGTAAGCTGTCCAAACAATGAAAGATAAGGAGAATCATTTCATGTTATTTTTGCAATTATGTTTGGCAACATTCTCTTTTAATATGTTTTAAAATGTAATTTATTTAAAAAATCATTCTAATATTTCTTTTCAGGATTATTTGATTAATAGAAAGTTCAAAAGATTTTATTTGAAATATATTAATATTTTGTAACATTATAAATGTCTTCATTGTCACTTTTGATCAATTGAATGTGTTCTTGCAGAATAAAAGTATTAATTTCTTCTTGACCTCAAATACTGACTTTATCTAGCCTGCAAACTCATTACAACCAGAAACAATGGTCTGCAAACAATGAGTGTATGTGTTTGTCTGAGGTTCAGTATGGGTTCATTCTGCCTGAGCATGCACTAAAATTATCCCACCTGGCTGTGCCCAGGTGGATAGTGCTGTTATTCAATTGGTGGTCCACTGGACACACACCTGCTGTAATTTCCCATATGCTGACAACACCATTGACGGTGCCACAGCACCTGCCCCCCTCTCCGCTGCTGACCTTCAGCTCACCCACTTCATCAGACAGTTGGCCATTGTTTGTGGCAAACCATGTAGTGGGCAGCGTTATGAATATTAAGCTGTAAAGATCTGAGGCTGTACACAATGATGAAATGTTCCCGCTGCTGATAGATGAGGAGCTAATGGCAATATTCTATCCCGGAGATCCGGGAAACTAAAGAACCTGAGGTACAGAGATCCTGTTTATTCCTAGGGGAAATCAGGAGACTAAATGAGCAAAGCAAGAATGTTTTAGCATCCTAAACTCATCAACAATCAAAGTTTAAAGCCAATGAACAAGGGAAAGGAGCTCTGAATAATGTAAAAACTCTCAAAGGCTGGATTGTTGACTAGCCCAGCTGTACGCATGACCTTGAGTTGCTCATTCCCAGCAGGCCTGTTTCCTCTGAGCCATGAGCACACAGTCACATATCTGCAGCCATCCATCAGCCGAGGATTATGGTACTGGAGGATTAATCTGTCTCTATCTACCCGTAACTTACTCTAAAACACATCAGTTCCCTTATCACCGCTCCGAGCACACAAAACCATAAGTCAGACTGCAACTGAAATACACTCACTCATAAAACCGCATATTCAGTAATAAAAAGGATGTTTTCTGTCAATAAAGATGACAAGGCACCATTTGGACAAATACAGGCCATCAGATCCCCGCCGATGCACAAAAAAACTGATTTTTTATTTTGAACAATTAGCAAGAAAATACTAGGGCTCCCGATTGATTATAAAAGAAATGTAATTAACATGATATGCTGGATAATTAATAAAAGTGCTAGAAAATAATTAAAAGAATGCATTATTGAATAGGCATTTTAAAAAGTGGCTTTACAAATCAATACATTGTTTATTTTATTTCCATTTTATTTTATTATATATTATTTTACTTTTTATTATTTTTATTTGTATTTTTTTTTCTTCCATGTCCCATAGAAATGCTGTGTTTTGTTTTGGACATGTACCATGGTAATTCCATGGTATTCTTTTAAGTACTTTTTTTTTTTTTGTAAGTGTCCTGTTCATTTATATGTCTCTTGTGGAAAGAGACAAGGCTTCAACCTCATTGTGGTTTAAATTAGCATTCTACTAATTCTTCAATTTTTACAATGTATTTGGGTGGCTTCATTAAACAACAGCTGATAAGGATTGATTGAGTGTGTGTGTGTGTGTGTGTGTGTGTGTGT